CCTTTATCAACACTTTCTCTACTTACTTTGTAATTGTGTTGCTCACTAGAAATAAAAGAGTGCGGGAATAAAATCTGTTTGAGGAAAAAAACACCCACTCAAAAGAGAAGAAAAATAGCTGTGCATATTGCGCTGTCTCTCTAGATTAAAATAAACTAAATAAGGTAAAACAACAAAAACAGCAATAAAGTAAGTTATTTAAAAATTCTTCGCCGAAAGCGAAGTGGATATTGTTGAATAATCCCCCAAACAAAGCAGAAGAAATTATTCAGGAATGTTCATTGAGCCTTAAGTGAATAGTTGTTTGAGTATAGTTGCTCAGGTGCTTTCGAATTCTGTAAATAAAGAAAGCATTGCGTATATTTTGTTACAATTGTGGTGATTACTAGTATCGTGATGGGCAAGGAGTTTGAGCACTGGTTTAGTTATTTCAATCAGCAAAAATTTCACATCTTTCTTCAGAAAAGCGTTCCACCAAACGCGGTGACATCTTTTGTGCTCTTCGCAATTGAATTTTCTACTGATGCGTTATCACTGCCTCGGAAACATTGACAAAACGCGAGGTAGCCAATTTGATCTTAAGCGCCCCAGCCATAATCATCTCGCGCGAGGTGATTTTTAACCACAATTTCCCGATGTGGATGAGAGTACAGACAACGTTTCTCGCGTCAACATGTCATAACCTTGATCACACACTGAAAGAATCGTTTTATTTGACGTCGATATCAGTTGTGGTAAAAAACAAATCGACAGTGTTTTGTTGCGGACTCTCTCAGCTATGCCACTGTAATAGCAAATATCGTGGTTGATAAAAGTACCGACGACGTTCAACCACTATTGAAATGCTAAATCACGACATATGACGCAATCCTCGACCAATCAGAGTGCGCACATCTCTATAATCACTTGAGGAATTATATTAAAAATTAGAGTCAAAGAACTGATTACATCAAGTACATCTCGAATGATTTAACCTAAAGTTTGCAGGCTTGCATTTACAATTCCTTTTCAGGACCTCATTGGTCTTCAGTCAGCATCAACATTTCGAGGTTTCCCTGAAGATGAAGCGCCTCTGCACGGCACCAAAATTAAATTCAACTATACTACTGTATTAAGCAAAGCAAGTATAACAATTTGCGCGTACTCCAAAGAGTGAATCAACATGCAAACAGAGCCACTAAATGCGATCCAGATCTCTTACATAGAAAAATTTTTTTAAGGACAGACCTTAATTCCTTCAGCAGACGTCTGCGCATGCCCCGTTGCAACCATCTCGTGGCTGATAATGACGTCATGTTCTGTGTTAGTGTTGTAGAGTTCAATTGCAAATCTGTGGCATCCAGCCACCAGAGACGCACTCTTAGATTTCACCTGAAGCGGAAACAGTGATAAGGCTGACGATGAGTTTCAAAAATCAAGATTGATATCTGTTCATTGTCTCGCTACTTGAGGGACTTGGGTAAACTACCCAAAAATTTGTCCAGGTATTTGTCATTCTGAAGAAAAATAGCCCCTCTAAGAACAAGCAGGGGACTGAAACAGGCTATGTGCGAAAATCGATTAAAATAGATTCGGATAATCAATCAAGGCTAGAACTAAACTAACAAGTTGAAATTAGAGGTGCAAAACTAGTCTCTTAATAAAAAGTAAAAATTTACTTTACACGTTAGATGGAGTGATTGCATTTATTTCCACAAAAAGTCTCAAATCCATTCAGTGGTTAATGGTTTCCAAGTAAGCCGGCCCGACGAGCAAATTTCACTACAGTGCTTGAGCAATTGTACTTTAAAAATCACTACTATACCAATTGAGCTGCGCTTTGCACTTTACCAATCTGATGCAACAACGACTAAGAACAACATTCAGGACACGTGCTCAGAACACATCAGTACCTTTGCGAATAGTAACTGATCAGTCACCATTTCCCAGAAAGCGTCGCTGCTCTCATCGCTCCATTCTTTCTCTGTAAAAAGAACCACAATTAGTTAAAACAAAAAACATTGAAAGTCTATCCAGGCTATCCTTGGCCCTACAAAGTTTTTGTACATCTCAGGTCGCTCACTGATCGATCTCTTTGACTTTCTTAAAAACGATGACCGTTGCATCTTTATTAAGTACGACAATGGAGCGTTTTCACGTGATTAGATCCGACAGAGCCTCGCATCGTACCAAAACAATCACAAGAAGACCATGTTGGTGCGCCGAGCCAACATTGCAGAGTGAATACTCTTTTTAGACGTTACCACTTTCTATTCCTGTAGCGTATTTCCATAGCTTGCTTGCCACGTGCTTGCCACGTGCTTGCCAAGTTTAAAGCTCCTTAGATGAGTACACCTAAATAACTTACCAAGAGGTTCGACGTGGACAAGCGAGCACTCAACAGCCTGGAGGGGCAGCTGAAGGATGTCATTCCAAGCTGGAACAATCCTGTCCGCTGTTACCCACTCTCTGTCACCAAAGTCCACATAAAATACATCATACTCTTTATCTGGCCTGCTGCCCAGGACACGCGCCCGGTACCAACTAGAGGAGAGGAAAAATTAACAGTACTGTATGGATAAATGTGTTGTGGTTACACTTTTTCTACAAAGGGAACGGTTAATAACACAGTAGTTCGCAGTTGCACTCCCTTTAAGCTAGATATCTTCCTAAAGCAAAATGCTTAGCGGGCAATTTTGTAGTCACGAGATAAAGGACTGGAAAAGATTTTACTTAGAGGCGTTGGTGGCCAAGAGAAAAGGCACACTAAAACCGCCTGGGGAATGGAGTGGAAGGAACGAAAGTTTGAAGTGCTTGTCCATCCAAAGTAAAAAATAATTTTTACGAAAAAGGCGACAAAAATTTAATTTTTCATGGGAAAAAATAATCCTGTCCGTAAGATAAAGTAAGATCACAGTATTTATCACCAAGAAATTCAAGTAAATTCGAATCAAAATCAATCGTCAGAACAATGATATACTGAACCTGCTCGAAAATAAAATACCAACGATGAGATTTTAATAACAGATACTTTTTTGGTAAAAGACGCACTGTTTAGAGCGTGGTAAAGTAACTTACAGGTCATCTTCGGAAAACTTTGCAACACAGAGCGAGCCAATTGGGATCTCGTTCTCCTCCGATTCAACTTTGTTGACTCCAGAGTTAATCTTTTGCTTCAGGTCCTCTAAGCTACAAAAATTAACATCAGAAAATGCGTTAAGTATTAGGCTTGATGCTACGGAGTAGTTTAACGTCGACTCGTCCGCACGCTGTGTCGTCTCACGAAGTATTTAGTCAGTTTAAGCAAACTATCTCTTGGGATTATTTTCAATTGGCTGAAAGCGACAAAACGAAGTTCAAATTTTGCTGTTTGCACTTATAGAAGGTAAAATACCCGAGAAACGGACTGATATAGAAGAACAAAAGCCTGTATTTGAAAGAAACTTGTGCTGCAGCGGTGGATGAGTGAAAATTTAGTGTGAAGCATGAAAATCAGAAAGGGATTTCAATTCTTAACTTTTTAGCGAATTTTTTTCGATCCCACAAATGGGCAAAAAAGAACTAACTACAACAGTAACAGCAAAATAACAAAAAAAAAATTGTCAAATCCTACAAGTTAAAATGCGGGAAAAATTTTGCCTCATGTATTCGCCGAAAAAAAAAACCTGGAAAGTAGAGAGAGATGTGGGTTTACAAATTACCAACCTTTCTTCTGAAGACTTCAGCTGGACAAAAAAAAGTCCTGGATTTTCCACAGCAGACACATACACAGAGTGGAATCCTTCCTCAGGTAGCACACTTGTTTCCAGAGCAGGCAACTGTTCACTGAAATAAGACACCCATGTACACAGATCTCAAGCGGTATAAACGATTGTAGAACATGGCAAGATGTGATAACATGTGGATAAGCCTTCACTAGAGGGTTGTCGCTCTCCTCTCAAAAGCCTGCATGTTCACAAACTGACTCGCAACTACTCAGCATTATTTCATTCAATCTTTTCATCACTGAGGCACTGTTCAGACACAATATTAACTCAAATCATTGGAAAAAAAACAACAACAACAAGAACAGCAACAAAAAAAGCTCTCACATTTTTATTAACAGAGCCATCAACTTCGTCCAAAGCGAGAGTTAACATGGGAAATTTTATCGGATAAACAACTGGAAAAAAAAACCCAAAACTGAGTGTGGAAAGAGGCTAAGGCGGTCTTGCGTTTTCATGTTTTTACCCCTGAGTAACAGGGAAGGATTAATCCTTACCTGACATCCGAAACACGAGTTTGTCCTCCTTCCAGAGGCTGTAAAACAATGACCCCCTCACAAAGGTTTCTCAGCAAGCGCACGTGCTTTAAAAAGAGTTATGGAAATAAAAAACTTCATTTTAGGCCCCAATCACACTGATAAATTGCAACAGATAAAATGTGGTTCGTTCATGTCTCGTCGGGAAAAGTTGAAAGCGCAACAATCACAACAATATATCGCGAGAGTGCATTTGAGCGTGCGAAAAAGAAGGGCCTAACTGAAATGTCTCAAAATACAAAGAGTAGTCAAGTTCACGTTTTCAGAAAGCTCTGTTTTCGGCTTGCAGTACTGTGTAAGTTAGGTCTAAGCGTTGAAGAAAAATTAAAGTTTTCAAACTGAGCCAGTATGACCAGCCGACAATTAATCCGAATTAGAGCGGACAGTTAATTCAACTGTCAAGGAGAGAAGGTTGCGTTTTCTCATCTGTCCAACGTAGGCTACTCTGGATGGAATATTGTACCAAACTAATAAAATTCCCCACTATTGTTCAGACAAGCGTTAAAGCGGAGAAACCTCTTACCTGTTTGTTTTCAGCTGCACGTTTTTCCCTCAACAGTTCCATCCTAACATTCAACGCATTGGTCGTAACATTGATGTTGGGAAGATATTTCCTCTCGACCAAAGGATCCAGCCACATCGTGTTGCCTAAGCTGCAAGACCAAAGTGAGAACAATAAGTCACTGGGCGAGCGATTCACCTTTTCATTGATACAGGCACACTTTGCGTATTTTTGCGCACTGCGACTTTGCTGCCAGGCTCCATTCACGTAATAAAATCGCCCAATCTGATCAGTTGGCCGCAACTGGTTGACACAAGCTGGTTGTATTCAGTTAAAGGTAACGGAAGTAAATGTGAACATCAAAATTTTTTCCTTTGGGGGTGGGGTGGGGGGGGGGAAAAGAACTTCCATAAACTTCACGTTATTTTCGATTCTTGTCTGCCTGTAATTTCAATGAATGCGTCTTCCCAGTCGAAAAAGAACCTCACCTCAAAACAACTCTTCCTTCCATTTCCTTGCCTTCAATGAGGCGTGTGATATATGCTGCCGTCTGTTTTAAATAAAAGCAAAGAGCAATCAATCTTTTAAACAGACATATCAAAAATCAGTTGAATTGTTTATTTTGACATTCAGAAACTCTTACTAGAGTGTGTTGGGTTGAATCAAAAGAACGCGATCACCGAGTAGTTTATCACAAGGTATCCCAAATAACTCTTTGTCAACAAATTGAGCGATTTCAAAGTCAAATAATTCAGTGATAATTTCCGAATTCTTAACCTTTACCTCGTCAGTCCAGTCAGTGTCTTTATCCAAAGGTTGTAATCTGCACACGAACACCTCAACTGCCTTAAAAACATAATACAGAACAGAGTTGAAGTAACACTAATGCTCGTTGGTATTCATCGTGGTGAAATAAGTGAAAAAATCTTAATATTTGCTGGATTATGTGGTCTGATCCGGTCTTGATCGCGACTTTCTAAATGCGCACTGCCGACGAAATTTCGAATCGAAAGGAACAATAGAAAAGAAGTTCTTGAAGAATTGGCGACTACGATACAGTAAACACAACAACAAATTAGCGACAGCGCATCGCTGAAGGACCGCATCACCAGAACAGTGAAGGTCGAAAAGCACCAATCACGGCGCAATATAAAGGTTCAAAGGGTGACGCGTAACCGGTCAAACCTACATTTACTTAGCCATTAAATGCGTCAAACTAAACTGAGCAATGTTATCTATGAAGGTGAACAAACTCTTCCAAGGGACTTAAGTTGTATGAATTAAGCGGAAAAAAAAAATGACGAAAAGCTTGTTAATGTAGATCACTAGCCTTACAGCTTGTGATTTAAAGACCATTCTCGAACTCTGCCAACAACAGAAGCGTTTTTTTTCTCATTATAAAACCCAGGAAAATAGGTTTTATAATTTCTTGATGAAACATACCTGGAAGGGACAGGAGTGAAATTGGGGAGGCAACTGCAGAAGTCTGTCCACATGAACTAATTCAAAATTTCCCCTGTCAACATATTGAACCTACGAATAAAGATATAAACACCTAGTGAACATGTGAACTGAGTGGTGGCCTAGCAAACCGCAGAGTCTCTGTGGCTCAGTGGTACCCGATGTAGGCCGCCTGCTAGCGGAATCAGAAGGACTGAGGTTTGATTCCTAATTGAGACTCAGAATTGTTCTTTGTCCCGCGCTCGTGAACAAGCGAGATACATCTTTCTTTATCTAGAGGGAAACGTTTGGTTCCATGCTGTAACGCGCAGAAGAAGGAATGCGAAGTCTTTTTTCATGCTCATCACGTTGCTCTTCATGCTCGTAACGTTCTTCCCTTCGCTATCCATGCACCAAGTAACTAACAGTAAAATAAACCAAGACATTCTTACCCGCACTTCCACTGGCTTTTTACTGTGATCTTCCTTAGTTACATAGCACACTTTCACTCTGGAGACACAATAGTATAGCTTCAAAGGATTAGATTCGAGCATCTGATGCAAGTAAAAGGAGTAAGTTTCTAAAGAGCTGTGGTGCTGTGTCGGTGAGAGTATAACAGGGTAATTTATTATTATCAACTGGGCTGATAACGTAAAGTGGCCACCGTTAAGAGAAAAAGAAAGAAAAGAAACTCTTTACGGTGGTCAGCCTACACTGTCAACTCAGTTGATAGTACTAAATTATTCTGCGGATGTAAGTTCATGTCAAGGCTGAAGTGTTTCAATCTACAATGATTGCTATATCTCTAGTGGTTTACCTATTGTAGGAACTGCTGTTAATTAGCTTCACAGCACACAGGTCACCAACAGAAACCAACTCTTGCTTAACCCGATGATTTGAATCAGCGTACCATCGACTGACTGCCATTGTTAATTCCAGGAACTCTGTGCAGTCTACAGTTCGACTGTTCAGCGGGTTTGCACCGGAGGGTTTGTGCTCAAGGATTCGCACCCAGTAACAAGTTGCATCCATTACACTCGTAATCAGTATCTGGAGTAAGTCATCAAATGTTCTTTTTAATGGTAGATGCGAAAAAAATTGTAACAATCTAGGGCTAGAGGGAAAAACTCAGGGTTTCCCCATAAGAATTTAGAATCCTGCCAGTTCCGGTTTTGTTTTAGGATGCTACATTAACTGAGCGACAAGAAATCGCTGACGAGCCAGGCCATACACAGATTCAGTATGTAGGAAGTGAGTGATTAGTTGTATTTGCTAAACAAAGCAAATAATCTCGACTAGCAAGAACGACTCACTTTTCCCGCAAGGGGAACCAATTGGAACAAAAGTGAAACTCATTTTGCCTGCAAAAGGGCAAGATACATAATAAATAGAATTACACGAACTTCCTTCTGAAGCTTACCTTAACTATGCCAGACGTAGGAATTCCTTTTGCTGGTTTATCCAACTCTGCCAACACTGAGTGTCTCTGCAAACAGTTTCTCGTTCCCCTTTGGTATCTAAATATAAGGAAAAATTATTCCTCCATGGGAGGCCTGAGTTTATAACTCGGGGTTGTTTGAATTCAGTCCACAAGTCGTCGTCGAGGTTCTAAAGCCCATGCGTGAGCCCGAGTATTTCAGGCTTAACAAACACAACACAATGACCAGACAGTTTTTTACTGACTGTGGGCCAGTTATTTACACGAGGCCTAACCTAAACCACAGTTTTACGTAATTAGTGGGCCTTGGGGATTCTCTATAAGAGGGTTAATTTAACCAAACGAATGTCTTACTTCCACAATTAATTTTCGGTCCTCTTAACACTGCTCATAAAAATAAATGTTTAGATGGAAGTTTCAGCTAAATTAGAATAGCTTAGGAGGCTGTCTTGTTAAACAACAGTTACACTTTGTTTAAATAACTCGCCCTATGGGTTTACTCCACGATAAGGCATTATAAATTACCTGCAAGTTCCAAAAGCTTTCAGAGAATAACACAACTCCTTAACCTTTTCTTTTTCCTGCAGAGAGAGTAAATTAAAACATCTATGAGGATTTCACTACTTTGTTCTGTAAATTTTAAGAGCAGCCTCCCAGTTTCGTCTGTTAAAATTAAAATAACTATACTCCAATTTTATTTCAAAGACTTGCCTGTTTTGCAAGGTCGGCCATTGCATCAAGTAGTTGTGGAACTTCCTGACCTGATCTCTGTACAAGCTGACGTATGGAAGGAGCGTGATACATATTTCGGCCATCAGTCACAAAAATAACAGAGACACAGCCATGCTCCTTCAGAAAATCAAATTCACAAAGTAAGAAAATGAAGATATGATTGTCCTTGTGGGCTAGTGGCATGTTATTGGTTGGTGGATCCCTGTAAAATTCACTGTTCATGCCTCAAGTAGTAATTCATATACGTAAGACAAGTTCACTTTTTTTCCTTTTTTTCTGTTGTTATAAACTTTGAAAAAAAGAGGTTAATACCGAATCAGCCGAACCAAACAAGTTTGGTCAATAAAGTATTAATAAATTAGCTGAAAGATTAGATAAACAAAAATTACTTTTGTGGGAACAGAGTGGGAATTACTCACGTGACAGCAAGATCTCATACGCTCCGGAATCATAAACTTTGTAGAAAGGATGTTAAAAAGTTAGGACTACCTCAATTAATTTTAGAAAAGAAGTGAAGAGTGTCTTACTTCAGATGATGTAAAAGTCCCAGCTAGAGTGGAGAGTCTTTTGCTAAATCGTGTCTTTGAACCAGGAAAGTTGAAGTGTATTACACATGAGGCATTTGTGATGTTCATCTGACCAATAACGTCTTCCGCTATAACTGAATTTTATTATTAAAATTATATATTAAACTGTGATTGCATTGGTCATCTTTTCGCCAAAATTAAAATTAAAATCTAGATTAAACTATATAACTATATGCATAGATGCATCAATAATCTGATCCTACAAAATGCTTTATACAAGAACACATCTAGTAACTCCGATAGAAAAAACTTCAGGAAAAAAAGGGATACAGATGATACACAATTTCAGAACTGCAAAGTCTTTAAAGCAGGCCTCCTTGGTCATTTCTTTCATTTTCTTTTCTCTTTTTTTTTCAGCTTTTGCCAAATTGTCAAACTCACTTTAACACAAGGGGAACTTATGGGAAACATAAGATTCTGTGGAACGGCCTTTTCACTGAGAGTTTTGAAGACATTATGGCATACCTAGAACTGGCATAGTATCAGTGGTGTGAGGAGTGTTCCACTGTCTCTGAATATTGTCAAGTTCATGAGGTGGTAGAAAATTGTGTGCCACAAGAGCAAAATAACAGTTTGCATTCAGGATTTGTCCAACGTTCTCTGCTTCCGCTGCCGTGGAAGTGAAAACACAAATGTCTTTTGTGCTAATAAACGATTCCAGGTAACCTATCATGGGAAAGAAAACGTTAA